TCGACCCCACGTAGAAGAGCATGCTTTGAGCCAAATGCCGTACACCCTGCAGGAGACACGTGCTGCAAAAGGCCCTGAGTGGGGAAACGGCGAAGGCCGAGAACTCTGAGTTCTAGGCGTGCCCCCAAAATACTGGAACCCTCCCGATTCTAGGAGCCCAAGAAAGGGTACCCCCTACTTTGGGAAACCCATGTGAAGGAGAGAGAGGCCATGCAGCGCTAAATCCTGAAACCCAAACCCTCAGCCTCGCTGCCCCAAAACCACAAAGCCTAAACCCTAAAAAACTTGAAGCCCTAAAACCACCAAAAACCCATAAAACCCATAAAACCCAAAAAAACCTAACAGCCCTTTAAAAAATTGAAGCCCGAAAATGCCAAACCGTGCCTTGCCACGAAAGCCAGCGCTGACGAGCGTGGGGGTGGGCCTCGGGGAGGCTTCGGGTGCAGGGTTCGGGGTTCAGGGTTTAGGGTTTCGGGTTTCGGGTTTGAAAAAAACAAACGCAACCCTACATAGGCACTGCGGGAGCTGCTCCAACAGATGTCTCCTGTTCAGGTTCCGGTTATGATTTAGGGTGTCCCTATTCAGGTTCCTGCTATGTTGTTAGGGTATCCCCAAAATTAGAATACCATAATCAAACCGCCCAAACCCCCAAAGCCCCGAATCCTAAACCCTGTAAAACCCTGAAGCCCTAGACCCAACCCCCAAGGCCCCTCAACCCTAAGCTAACCATGTACCGTAAAACCTTAAAGCCCTGAACCCTAAACCATGATGAGGCCCCCCCAAAACCCTAAACCCCAAGCTACCCATGTACCCTAAAACCCTAAACCCTAAACCCTAACCTAATTGCTGAGTACCCTGGCCCCAAAAAGGGGTAACCTTTTAATTATTGTAGGATTGTATTTACCCCGGAAGGTTAAAGGACCCGAAACCTCAAAGCCCCAAACCCAAAGCTATAATGAACCCCCCCAGCCACCAAAACCCCTAAACCCTAAGCTACCCATGTACCTTAAAACCCCTGAACCCTAAGCTACCCAAGTAGCTTCAAACTCCTAAACCCTAAGCTACCCATGTACCTTAAAACCCTGGAGAATGTAGGCCGCCAGTCTGGTAGGGGTAGCCATCACTGTCCACCGGCATGCCCTCGCAACCTCGGAGGCCACTCAGACAGACGATTCTGTTTAGGGTTTAGGGTTTGGGGTTCGGGGTTTAGGCTTTGGGTTTGGGGTTTAGGGTTTGGGGGTTTGGGGGTTTGGTTGGGGTTTAGGGTTTGGGGTTTAGGGGTGGGGAGGCAGTTAATCTGTACTGCGGCGGGTAGTCAGTTTGAGTTCGGCGCCAGATGTTGGAATGTCTACACCCTAAACCCTAAACCCTCTAACTAAACTTCTCATCTCAAAATTCGAAATCCTCCACCCCCTGGGAAAGACCAGGGAACCCCAAACCCTTAACAAGTCAAGCCCAGACCTCCTTTGAAAACCCCAAACTTCCGACCCTCAACCTCCCAGAACAATACTTTTGGGGAAATGTTTGGGGTGCACAGCAACCTTACGTAGCGGCTCAACCTACCGTAGCCTAGAACTCGTTCGGCTTGGGGATGCAGGAAAGAGGACCTCGAGCCACACGTCCACGCACACGGTGCGCGCGTTTTGTCGCGTGCACAGGCACAGGGAACAAAAGAAGAGAGAGCTCCCTCGGCAAGGTGTCGCCTTCGGAGTCGAGTTTTAAGGTTTGTGGATTCGGGTTGGTTTCAGGACTGCGCTGATGGGGCTGCAGGTCTGTCTAGCACTCGACACCGTGTTCAAGCCGCAGCACTTGCTACAGAAACTCCTGAATCGATCCGGGGGCATCATGCCTTGTCCAAGCTTGCCTGATTTCAAGCAGGGCGCCAGTGTCAAGGCACCCACCCCGATCAACTTTGAAAAGGAAATTGAAAACGTGCAACGCCAAGTGGGTTTAGGGCCCAAAAAGCTTCCGGATCTTACGGCCGGGATCCTCAGGTCTTGTTTTATGTGGCTAACTCCCACTGGGCTCGACGGTGTGGCAGAGCCTGGTCACTCTACCCACACACGGTGTCTCTGCTCAGAGCTTCGACTTGGCGGCCTGGCCAACTGCACGGGCGCGTTTCGGGTTGAGGGCGTTCAAGGGTTTAGGAAATAGGTCTTCGCGCGCCCTACTTTAATGAATACGTTCCTAAGACGTACCCAGTTCTAGACGCAAGAACAAGCCCCGGAACCCCTCAGACCATAAGCACCTGATGGAAGGCCTAAGCCTGCGGTTCAAGCTTAGTGTTCAGGGAGCCCTGAGGTTCAGGGAGCCTCTAGATCCGAAACCCCGGTTTAGGGTTTAGGGTTTAGGGTTTAGGGTTTAGGGCTTAGGGCTTAGGGCTTAGGGCTTAGGGTTTAGAGTTTAGGGTTCGGGGTTTAGGGCCCCCTGGACTCAAACGACTGAGCCGGGCGGACGTCATCCGCGGACACGATGGTGAAGGACGACTTGTTCAGCTCCTCCCATGGGGTTCACACTCCCCAAGCCCAAACTAGCAATAGTAATCGTAGTGATCAACAAGGTAGTGGTAGCAGTAGCAAGAGTAACAACTGATAGTGAGTGTGACGGTGACAGTGAAAGCAATAGCAATCGCAAAAGTAGCAGTACAGTAATAACAACGGCAAGAAGAAGACTAACAACATGAGAATAGGAAAAAGGGAATAAGAAGCCCCGCCCCATGGCAAAGCCTGGACCCAAAATCCTGCTAAGTCTCGGGGGTTGCAGGTTCAATGCTTTTCAGGTATGAGAAGTTGGGGTGTGCCAGGGTTCAAGGTCGCCCTAGGGGGTGAAAAGTTAAGGCTCCAGCGTCGAAGGTATCTGGGTGGAGACGTGCTTCCGGGACATAAAGCGTTTGAGGTTGCAAGCTACCCACTGCAAGCCCAACGTAAGAAGAAAGCAGCCCTGAACCCTATACACCCTAAGCCCCTTCCTCGACAACGGTGCTCCCCTCCTGCCCCCCCTTATGTGGTAACCGGGACCCTTAAACAAGGTAACACCCTGGAAGAGGGGCACAAAGAGACACTGAAGAACTTGAAGTTGAACCCAGGGATTGCCAGCCGTGAAGAAACCGCAAAAGGCTGAAGGTGGCCCCAAAACCCCAAACCCCGAGCCTTAGACCCTGGCCCTGTTTAAGCCGCTCTGAATATTTCCCTAGATATGATACTCTTAAACCTAACAAGGTGCGAGAGGGCCTAATTGCGGCCCTAAGGCCCCAAAACCTCAACCCCTGGATACCCCAGGCGGTTTCCACTCCTTGGCCTTCTGCCGGAGGACCTGGCAGGTGAAACCCGTAAACTCTTCACGGGGAGTTCGGGAGTTCGGGGCTTCGGGACCATGTTTCACTCCACTGCCCAGACACTAAGCGCGTTGAGGCAAGTTAATTTCAGGAGGGGGCGTCCGGGTTTTCACTCAGGGCTTCCCCGCAACATCGAAGCCTCAAGATGATAGGGCGCCCAAAGCCTTAAGCCCAAAGCCCTACCTAAAGGCTCGTACGCAGGCCATTTTAGGGTAGGGTTAGCATACCATCATCCCCCAGAACAACACCGGCATGATAAGGGTGCTGGGGTCAGGGGTTTAGGATGGTTTAGGATTTAGGCTTGAGGTTTGGGCTCTCGTGCAACCTCTCGGGGTTCCACTGGGATCCCTCCCATGCCTGCTTCTGGATCTTGCCTGTCGGTGTCCTTGGTTTCAGCACCCTATACCCTAAACCCCCGATCCACCTGGCGTTTGCGGCTTCTAGGGTTTAAGTACTGCTTAGGGCTTAGGGTTTAGGGATTAGGGCCCCGAACCCCTGGAACTCGTTGTATTTAAATGAGTGCCTCATACGGTAACCAGCTATGAATGTAGACTTATGGCAGCCGTAGTTTAGGATGGTTTTGAGGTGTAGAGGTTACCCCTCTGATCCAACAGCACTTCGTGAGCCGTGCATTGACCTGGTGTTCCCGGCGGAGTGTACCCCACATCGTATGCCAGGTGGCCTTAGCCCTATACCCTAAAACCCCGAATTGTCGCGGTTTCGGATTCGGGTTTTGAGGCTGTGGGTTTCGGTTACGCAAGTCTGAGAGATCCTGGGGAAACCTTGGCCGGGAGGGGCGGGGTTCGGTTTTTGATTCAGGGTTTTCCTGCAACATCGGAGCCTCAAGATGATAGGACGCCCAAAGCCTTAAACCCTAAACCCTACCCACAGGCTCGTACGTAGTATCATTTTGGGCTAGTCTACCGCAACCTCCCGTAGCTACCCCAAAAAGAAAACTACATTGGAGCCTTCGGGTGAACCCTACCCATGACCCCTGAGCCGAGGAGCTTCACGCCCTCCAGGCTCTCAAAGACAAAAGTTCGGGGCACCATGTAGCGAGCCACTGGGATGCAGGTTGAGATTTCTTAGACAAGGTGCGCTTCGGGGTCCTATAGGAAGTCAATCAAGCTTCGATGCTGCATGTTGGGTTATGCAGGAAATATTGAAAGTTAGAGTCATTCCTATGTCCTGCACCCAAACCCTCCCTGAACTTGAAAACCCTTAACCCAATCCCGGTCAGGGCTTTGGAGGAGGAGCAACCTTAGCCAGGACTTGTGTTGGACCCCACAGCATCCTTCACTGGAACCATTCTTGTTCGGGCTTGTGGGGGAGGCGGAGGGGGGGGTGCATTTGAGGGTTAGGTTTGGGCTTGGGCTTCAGGTTTCAGCCGGGTGGGCAAACATTCGAACCCAGAACCCCAAGTTCCTCAAGCCCAAGAACCTCTACCCCTACGTCCACCGTTAGTTCCTCAGGCCTCAAGAGGCCCCAAGTGGGACCAAGACCATGCGGTTCGGGGTTAGGGTTAAGGATTTAGGGTTTAGGGGCTTCTTGACTTGGAAATGTGTATCTGGGTGGTTTGTTTCATGGTTCGATAGGGATCATAAGCAGATCCGATTGGTAGCCATTGGGCCCTGTAGCAGACAACATGCTGAAGATTCCCTTCAGATCAGGCCGGGTCGCTGTGCTCGCGGCACCAGTTGTAGATCTCCTGAAGCATTTGGTTTGGGGTCTCGTTTTGCGCCCCTAACCCCCGGACCCCTCAACCCCCTAAACTCTTGAACCCCCTTAAGCCCCTTTAAACCCCAAACTGCCCGGCGGGATGATCTGGCCGTGCCCTCCCCAAAACCCCAGTCACCCGGCCGGTTCTCAGGAGGGAATGAAGGAATTCGGTAGTTCCTGTGGGTGTTTGCCCCCTTTTTAAGGGGATTCTGTACAAGTTTAAAGGTTTCGGTAAGGGTTTAAGGTTTAGGGTGCTCGTGCCCAGGCTTATGCAGAGAGCTGGGGATGCCTTGCATGAGGGCTGTTCAAAATCTAGAATTCGAACCTTTAAAAACAGTAATCTCTGGGGAAGAAGCGAAATGCTTGAGGTCTTGAGGGCTCAGGGTTGGAGACTTAGCCTGAGCTTAGCATTTGTTGGGGGAGGCTAAGGTAAAACCCGAGGAGGGTCTTCCATGGTCTTCCGGATAGCTGATTGCACTGGAAACTATCTAGGCTCCTAGAGCCCGCAGAAGCCTGAACACAAACCCGTCCTCGTCGGACAACGTCATGCCCTGGCGGCAGACGATCCAGGCCACGGGCGTCTCACCCCACTTCTCGTCGGGTCTGGCAGCAGGGCTCTTTCCAGAGAGAGAGGGGGTGGGTCACTCTCAGGATCCTTGGGGTCTAAGGAGAATGCATGTTTGTCAAAAATCTTAGGGGTCTCAACCGAAACTGTGCTGTGTCTTGTCTGCTCGCCTGGAGGGCACGAAACCTATATGGAGCCCTATGGAGGGCCCTATATGGAGCCCTAAACTCCCACACCCCTACGATATGTCCCAAGCCCCCAAATCTCTATAGTCTCTAACTACCCTGCAACCCCCTAAACCACCAAACCCAGAACCCATACACCCCTCCGCACCTGGCAACAACTGCCACCTCTGCAATCTTCGGATTGCCCATCATGATGCTCTCCACCTCTCCAAGCTTTGAGAAAGGGATGATAACATCGGAATGCTCCACATACAGCTTTCTATGCTACCTAAGAATCCTGCAAGGGGCTCTATCTTTATCAGAAGAAGCTACGGAGAACAAAAGTGCATCGGGGGGGGGGTGGTTGCTTGAAGTTCGCAGCGAAGCAGAAGATGCCTTTTCAACCATGAAGCTCGGCAAAGAATGTGTAGGGTCGCGACCCTGTTTAATTAGAACGGACACTTTTGGGGGGAGGGGGGGGGAACACTTTGGCAAGTCTTTAGGCTCCTGTCTGAGCCGTTTTTAGGTGGAGCCTCCAGGGATGATATGTTCTCGCCGCCTGAAATGATGATGTCCTCAAGGCTGCAGGCCTAATATAAAGCCCCAAAACCCTTCTTAAGCTGTAGGGCCCTCCCTACCGGTCGGGGTCCTCGTGCCCTCAGAGACAGTTGCGTTCCGGGCTGCCGGTCGGGGACCCACACACACTTGGACCTACAAGCTCCTGGCCTTGTGGAAAACCCTAAACCCTAAACCCTTGGGGTAAGGATTCAGAAGTCCGTCTTGAATCAGCATTCGGGGGGAAATAGCACGCATCTGAGCCCCTGCAAGGGCCTGTCATGCGGGTTTAGGGCCTAGGGAATAAGGGCTCCCGGAACCCTCTTGAGGGGGGGGGGGGATCTACTTGTTGGATCTGGGTCGAACCCTAGCACCTAAACCGCAAACATAACGTGAGGAGACATGTGACGTGGGAATTCGTCTTATACATAAATGTGATACTGGTACCAATGTGAAAAAACACACACACCTGAAGCTGCACCAGGCTGCCTGAGAATGCGATAGAATGGGGTTGTATACTCAAAGCCTTGAAAGGATGGGTTTGGGGTTCGTAAGGTACTTGCGCGCACCTGAGAGTCCTCAACCCTAGGAGCCCCAGAGCCAAGGCCGGGGGTCCTTGGATCTGTCTTTCAGCTGAATGTACCCATCGGGGTATCTCACACCCAAGTCGCCGGTGTTGAAGACCTTGAGAGGAGTCGCTTTGATCCCAAACCCGATAAACCCGTGGGGGTTTGTGCTTAGGATTTATAGGGTTTAGGGTTTAGGGCTTAGGGTTTCGGGTTTAGGGTTTGGGGTTTAGGGTTTAGGGTTTAGGGTTTAGAGGGTTCAGCAGAACTTGGCTCGATTCAGAGGCTTCTGCTTGCGGAAAGGCAAGCTCAAAGGAACCTTCCAAGCTGCCTCAGACACTCGACACTCTCCATCTGAAGCCCAAGTCTGCACTCTAAGAGTTAAAGTCTCTAGACCCTGGCCCGAAGCCAACTGAACCCTAAACTTTGCACTGCGATCCCTGAGAAAACCTACTTGTAACCCCTAAGCCCTGAACCCTCAAACCACAGTACCTCAAAGCCTGCACTGTGAAGAGCCCCACAGGAGCCCACTCCCCCTGTACATGGGCACTGAGGGTTTAGGGTAGGTTTGTAGTGGTCTGAGGTCTTGAGTTGGGTCATGAAGCATACCTTTCACATGTGTGCTGCTCGAGGAAAGAAACAACCCTGCACCCTAAAATCCACCTCTACCCCCAAACCCCAAAACCCTACCCCCAAACCCCAAAACTCTAAACCCCAAGCCCTAAAAACCTCCAAAAACCCTAAAAACCCTAAAAAACAAGCTCGGAGCCCGGCGCCTCCCTTGAACTCCTTGGCCGTCGCCTCGGGGTTCTTGAAATATCCTTCGCGGCTTCGGATCTAGGGGGCTTAGGGGGGTTTTGGGTTTAGGGCTTTACGGTCCGGATTCAGGGTGCTTGGGGGGGGGGGGGTGGGGTCTCGGGTTGAGGGTTTAGGGTTCACTCGGTTTTGGGTTTGGGGTTCGGATGAAGGGGGCTGAGGGGGTTGAGAGGGGTTTAGGGTTTAAGGGGGTTCAAGGTTTTAGGGGGGGGGGGTTTGGGGTTTGGGGATTAAGGGTGGTTTTGGGGGTGTAGGGGCTTCGGAAGTTGCATGATCAAAGACTTCGAAGGCAGCTTGAAGTCTCACCCTAAACTCTACCAGTCCCTGCAATCCAACGAGCAACTCCAGATGGGGGGGTGGGGCTTGGGGGGGGTGGGGTCCCTTCATGATGGTGTTGCCGCTCATGACGATCTCGCCGATCCTGGGTTGGTTTTCGGGGGGTTTGGGGGTTGCAGAGGCTCAGAGGTTCAGAGGTTTAGAGCTTTCGGGTGTAGGCGTAGGGCTTAGGGTTTGGAACATGGGGCGCAGGGACGTATGGATGGGGGGGGGGGGGGGACGAGGGGGTGCTTCTGTTGCCCTCGGTCCTGAACACATCCCCAAGTCCGCAACAAGCCTAAAGACCGGACGCTTTGAAGCCCTAAGCCACACCAACCACAACTCCAAAACACTGATTTCACCCTCAACCCTAAACTTTTTAAACCCTAAAGCCCTAAGAACCCTAAGAACCTAGAACCCCTAGAACCCCTAGAACCTCAAAGTCTCCAAGCTTTATCCCAGGCATCCCCCTAAACCCTAAACCCTAAACCCCTTACGACAGCATCCTCCGAGTGTGTTCCGAGGATCGTCTGCCCATCCCTCGGGACCGGCTTTCGCGTCTCCGGGTCGATGACCTCCAGGTACTCCAGCCTGTTAGTAGGACATGGGCAGCGGCTTGGGGTTTCAGGGTTCTGGGCTTTCAGGGTTTGGGTTTGAGGCGTTAGGGTTTAGGGTTTAGGCCTTTTCGAGTTTGGGTTTAGGGCCTCTCCCCTGTGGATTAGCAATCTGGGGCTGATGCCAGGATGATTCCCGTGAATGACCTGAATGCTTCACAACCCATTTGTGTGGAAGGATGGGTTAAAGCTTACTGTCGCACAATTCTACCCTAAACCCTAAACCCCCAAAGACCCCAACATGAAGGCTTGCCATAGCGATGCTATCTTTATTTTGCCCACACCCTAGTTGGACTTTCATGCGTGGATGATCTGCTCATTTGTTCTGGCCGCTGTCTCCTGCCAGGACGGGCTGTACCCTATAACCTCTTGTAACCAGACATTCAAAAGGGTTGACTTGAACATCCCGCAACCCCTGTAAGTCTGTTATGCCTCAGGGCCCCTTCTAACCCCTTCAAGCGATATACAGGCGGAGACATGCATATGTGTATCTGTATATATTGTATACATGGTACCTGTTCCCTAATTCCCTATGCAATAACCACGTCGTAATACACGGTCCCGATGATGCATGGGGCGGATGACCAAACAACCCACCCAGACACCCCACAACCCCAGGCCCTAAACCCTACATGCCCTCGAACCAAACCCCATAACGGCCTAGGGTTTAGGGTTTAGGGCTTAGGGTTTAGGGTTTAGGGTTTGGGGTTTGGGGTTTGGGGTTTGGGGTTTGGGGTTTGGGGTTTGGGGTTTGGGGTTTGGGGTTTGGGGTTGAACTTGCGTTCCACCCCCGTACTACCCGTACCCCAGTATGTCCGGGCCGAGTGTCTCCAAGCAGCGCACTCCCTGGCGTGCCAGGAAGGCAGCCTTTTGGAAGAACCCTAAACCCTAAACCGCTGAAACCCTACCCTTTACTACTAGAATCCCTATTCAGGTAATGTGAACCATAAACCCTTTTAGGGTTCACTTGGGACCATAAACCCTAAACCCTAAGCCATTCACTTCTCACGTGGGCCTTTGGGTTTCGGCGCTTCGGGGGGGGGGTTAGAGTTTCGGGGCTTGAGCTGGCCATGGTGACTTTGATTGCTGTGATGTACCACGGCTCGTCATGAGTCTTCCCGAACCAACTGCAGGGTTTAGGGATTGGGGGTTAGGGTTTAGGGTTTAGGGTTTAGGGTTCAGGGTTCAGGGTTCAGGGTTCAGGGTTCAGGGTTTAGGGTTTAAAGGCTTCAGGGTTTAGGGGCAGGGGGTTGGGGGCATTTGGGTTCAAGGGGCAACAGTTCTACAGGGGGCAAGCCGTGTGCCCACACAGTGAGGGGGGCCGCCAGCTTTGCTGGGGGATGCTTCGCGCCTTCTCCTCCATGGTCTTGGAGTTCCACTCATCCTTCCACTCGCACATGACACCTGGCACTTGGCAGGGCGTGCACCCTAAACCCTAAACCCTAAACCCTAAACCCTAAACCCTAAACCGTAAGCCTGAACCCTGAACCCTGATAAACGACAGAGGGTGGTAGGGTTGCGAAGGCCACGAGTAAGGAGGAACCCCGTGGCCATTCAAAGCCCTGAGCCCTGGCCCGAGACCCCTTGATGAGTCCACAACCCCTAAACCCTAAACCCCAAACCCTAAACCCCAAACCCTAAACCCTGAACCCTAAACCCCAAACCCTAAACCCTGAACCCCAAAAGCCAAACCCTAAACCCCCGAATCCCCAAGGCCACCCTGACACCCCGCCTGTTCCATAGCCCTCTGTCAACCCATAGACGTGGCCTGGGCCCCACGGTGCGAGAACTTTAGCTTGGTGCTTGGGGTTTTAGGGCTTTAGGGGTCAGGGTTCTATGGCTTGAGGAGTTAAGGGTTCTAGGATTCTAGGGTCTAGGGTTCTACGTTTTGGGGTTCAGGGTGTCATTTCAAGTTTGCCCAGTGACCGAAGAAAACAAAGCAAGGTGCCTGTTTTTGCTTGTGGGGGGTGGGGGGTTGTAAACTTTAAAACCCTTAACTTGAAAAGCCCCGTATACCCGGAACTTACAGGGAGAGGCCCCTAGACACAAGGGTTGATGAGGGGTTTGGTTCATGCATGACTTAAGTATAGACAGCTACCCGCATGATTCGCATTTGGACCCACAAGCTGCGAACCAAAGGGCTCCCCAATAAACCCCTAAAGCCCCTAAGCCCCGAATCCTCTAAGCCCCTAAACCCCTAACCCCCTAAGCCCCTAAATCCTTGAACCTTAAACTCTAGAACCCTATTACATATAAACCCTAGAACCTCGAAAAAAACCCTGCATGCAAACCCTGTAACCCCTCAACCCCCATAAACCCCCCATAAACCCCCATAAACCCCCATAAACCCCCATAAACCCCCATTAACCCCCATTAACCCCCATAAACCCCCTCTAAACCCCCATCAACCCCCATAAACCCCCCCCATAAACCCCCATAAACCCCCATCCCTAAACCCTAAACCCTAAACCCTAAACCCTAAACCCTAAACCCTAAACCCCGATAAGCCGAGCACGGCCCAGCGGCTCACTTCGATGCCATACTCCGCCATGCGGGCGAGGACGGGCGCCGGCGGGGCCGCGGCACCTGCAGGGTTTAGGGTTTAGGGTTTAGGGTTTAGGGTTTAGGGGTTAGGGGTTTAGGGTTTAGGGTTTAGGGGTTAGGGGTTAGGGGTTTAGGGTTTAGGATTTAGGGTGACCGGAGGGGGCATGTTTTCCAGCCTTCGCTGTGACAATCATTGAGGCGCAAGTTCCTGATGCCCTAAACCCCAGCCGCCCAAAACCCTAACCACCCTAAACCTAAGAGCCTTGAACCCTCGATCATTAAACGCTGACCAGAGAGGTGTGGCCTTGTTCAGACCCCGAAACATCCCAAGCTACCTGCAGGTAACCCCAAGCAATCCCGAAAGGAATCTAAGACACCCTAAGCCCTGAACCGTTTAGGGTTTAGAGTTTAGATGGGTTATGGGTTATGGGTTTAGGGTAAAATCCCAACTGAAAACCGGAAGGAGGCGGGGTTGGAGCCAGGGCGCTGGTCATGAACTTCAGGTCCTGGCTCCAGGTACGCTTGCCGCTGTATTGCAGCCTCACAACAGCAGGGGAGTTGATGGTTTGCGGCTTATAGGGCTTGGGGCGTATTTTAGGGCTTATAGGGTCTGGGGCGTAAAAAAGGTTTAGGCTTAGGGCCTAGGCCTCCACTGATTAAGCTTTCACTTGCAGCTGTGGCACATCGTGCTCATGACAATGGGTGCTCCGCAGATGTGCGTGACCCCGTGCTCCTTGACGGCTGCAAAGATGTCGTCTGCAACCACCTTTCTGAGACACACGTTCACACCTGCAACGGCCGCCACCGCATAGGGGAAGAACCAGCCATTCAAGTGGAATATGGGGACTGTCCAAAGGTAAACACAGTGTCGGTGAAGCGGCCACTTGATGATCAAGTGCACGCTCTTCAGGTAGGCGCCGCGGTGATGCAGCAATACACCCTTGGGATCTGCGGTGGTCCCGCTGGTGTAGCACCTTGGGTACATGCGCAGTTGAGAGAGACTTTCAGAGGCTTTGAAGCACGCTGCGTGTATTCCTCACGACCGTACCGGCATCAACGCGTTCTACACATCAACACTTGCATGACGCTTCATGTCGAAGACATCGAGACCAAAGGGTTCCGTAAGTTCCCGCTTCAAACTCCTAAAGCACAAAAGAGGCAACTGCTACTAGCGCGGTCCTTTCCAAAACCACTGGCGCTCAAAAGTCTTTCGTGCTCTGAGTTTCTTGTACACTTTGGGGCTTAAGGTTTTCGAGTTCAGGGCGGAGGGCTGCCAAGGCTAAAGACATGTCAGGGCTTCAATTCGAACATCGGCTTGTATGGGTTGCGGGGAGCGGAAAGCTTCTGTTCCCTAGAACACTCTGGCTACGAGGGCCGTGTGGGGCATTGAATGATTGAGGCGGTTTAGGGCTGGCTGAAGATCCTTCACATAATATGGGTCTAGGGAGTTTCCTGGCAACATTTTCGCGCTGCCCTAAACCCCCATAAAGGGGTCACAAATTGCAATCGAGCCAGCATGCACCCAGCGCGGAGCTGGCGCACAATTTGCGGTGCCGGCTGGGTTTAAAGGCATCAGTTTTGGGAGCATGTGGTCTTTCAGCTGAGACGCTGCCTTCAAGACCTCTCAACGGCTCGAGCACAACAACACGACAAACCAAGACACCAAAAGCGAACCCTCGCGCTGCAAAAAGTAGATTCATGTACCAACGTGACCGATGCTGTGACCATGGCCAAGACATACACGAAACGCGCCCCCGAAACCGCCTGAAGCCCAGGGCGCAAGGAGAGCGTGTCCCACTCATCCGGGGGCGCTTCCCAGGGCGCCAGGGGGTCGCCCTCGGAGAGCAGCTGCTCGTAGTTCATGGAGCCGATCAGGGGGCCCCGGTCCTGAAAAACTCTCTCAATCGGCTATTCAAGGAAGGGTCTTTGAAGAAGTGGTGTTGCTTTAGGCTGAAGCACTTGAAGTATAAGCGGCTTGACGGTTTCAGGGATTTACAGGGGGCTAAGAATGTTCTTGGAAGCCGGGTCCGAGCTTGGAGTGGGTCGGAGTGCGGGTTTGGTATGCTCAGGTGTGGGATGTGGAGTCTAGGTTGGCCGCTTCTGAAAAATGGTCTCGAATATTCTTGAGCCCAATAAGGAAGGGCTTAGAAGGTTTGAGGGTTTGAGGGTTTGAGGGTTTGAGGGTTTGAGGGTTTGAGGGTTTGAGGGTTTGAGGGTTTGAGGGTTTGAGGGTTTGAGGGTTAGGGCCTTAGGGCTCAGGGCTCTCAACGGCGTCCGAGATGTCCTTCTCAGGGCACATGGGATCGTCCACATCGATCACGAAAGGCCGCTTGCCTTCGGGAAATGCTGCCAGCACACCTGCCACCAGCTTACTGTACTCACGGTCCACGATCCTCGGCAAGGGTCACAAACTCAACTACGCCTAACGCTAAGCCCCCCTGCGCAGACGCCCTGCACACGAAACTCCTTGAACCCCTTCCCCCCGCAGAAAGCTTGAAAGTGGGTGTCCTTCCTTCTTCTGTTTTGTGCGCGCATGGAACTCCCTACGTTAACAGCCGCCGAATCAAAGGACTCTACCTTGAACCCCTAAGGTGGCACCCTTGGGCTTGGGACCCATTCTCAAGAGTTGTAAAGGAAATATCAAGGCCGTATTGGGAGTAGATGGAAGGAAACCTTTAGGGGTACAGGCTTTGGGGTATGAGTCTTCATCCCTAGACTCCCCATGCTAACCTGGAGGCCCCCCAAAAACAACACCAAAGGTGAGTCTGCACCCTTCTCAGCCCCGATAACCCCAGCACTCCCCCAGAAAGCGCACAAACTGACTGAAACAAAAAGACAAAAACCCCTTGAAACCGTACTGAGACATTCGAAAGAAACATATGAAAACAAAATGCGGCCCTGGGTGCAGTATCTTGGCTTCGGAGTGGCCCAGCCTGGAGGGTCCAGGGTCTAAGGCCCGGGTCTAGGGTGTCTTGCGCACTGCTCTGAGCTCGGAGAAGACCAAGGAAAGGCGAAGGAATTTAGGGTGCCCAGCTGGAAGGCTTGGAAATTGCTGGGCCAAACCGGCCCAGAAAAACACCCGCACATTTGGGCTACAGGATGCTAGGCGCCAGCACTGTGGGTACTTTGCACGCAGCCCTAAACCCTAAAACATCCTAAACCTGTTTGCCCAATACCGAGACCCAAGGTGTACAACTTAGGGGTACACACACAGACCTCTCCGCAACCGAGCAGCATGAAGCTCAAGGTCCTGGCATCCAGGCGGTAGTTCAGCCTTGGACATTTGGGGGTTTACGAAAATAGTGGACCCCCGAAATAGACACCAAATAGTACGACTCGCTCATAAAAAAGGACCCCAATAAGGTACCCCTGGTTTCCGCAACCCCATTTTGGGTTTAGAGTTCAGGGCTTGTCTGGGGATTCGGATTTAGGGCTTAGGAGTTTGGGCTTCAGGATTTCACGTTTCGGGCTTCGGGGGATCTTGAACTTGTTTGGACTCGCGCAAATGCATGGCTTAACAACGCAAAGACAAAAAGGTCACCTTACTCCATGGGAGAGAGGTGGCCCGATGCCCTCTTGTGAAACCCATACACACTATAAACCCTAAACCCTAAACCCCACACTCCCTAGCGAGGCTTCCAGACTGCCCAGGGGCGGGTTCAGCACGGCGCCGCTCATTGGTATACCGAAGTGGGCCTCCACCAAAACACATGGTGGGTAGTTCTCTAAATCCGGGCGCCTTTTCAGGGTCCACCCCAAAAGGGTTCAGGGTTCAGGGTTTCGGGGCGTGTTGGCCAGGCGCCTCGATGTTCTCGGGGGAGTTGTTCAGCAACACGGCCACTGCCTGAGTCAGGGATGCCCCCTCAATTCAACATCCCTAGGCCCTACACCCCGAGACCCTGATAAACTTCCAAGCGCGGGGGGGATTCAGGGTTCCGTTAACCCCCGGAAAAGTCCTGGAATTTTGACACCTTAAAGGCTCGTGAAGGCTTAGAGATACAGAGCCCAACCTCTGTGCATGTAGGGTTTCGAGTTTTAGGATTGAGGGCTCACAGTGCTCCCAGGTGGTAAAAGGCATCAGGGCCTTTTTGGGGGCCGCGCTTTTGGCTGTCCAGGGATTCTGGCTCAGTCTCACATGGACGATGCGCGAACATTCGAAAGACAAACATGCATGGTGCTCTGTTGCCAGCAACGCGCGCTACCGCAGACGGACTTTGCATACCAAGACTTTGGGGGGTTGTACAGCTGCATTTGGGGTGCGGGGGGGGGGGGGAGCTTAAGAGCATTTTTCCAAGCGAAGGCTCAGCTGCAGGCGCTTAGATCGGGATTTGGAGCTTTTGGGGCGGCTTGGAGGGGCTTCTGGGTTGCCGCCAAGCGGCATCACCCCGCTGCACGCCGCGCGCTTTGAGAGCCGAGCATAGGCGCCGGGATCGCGCGTAGAGATCGGCCCACGATCTCCTCCCAGGCATGCGCAGCCATACTTGGAGGTGCCATGGGTACCTCTAGAAACTTCAATCAGCTACGGCCTTCAACCCTAATCATAGTGAGGTACTTGCAACAATACTTCATGAGGCTTCCAAGTCAAGGAAAGCTCCCCAGCAACCCCAAAAACAACTCGTTCTGAGGCGTCATCACCCCTCAGGGTCTCACTCTTTGGAACCTTGGGGTTTAACAGGGCTTCAGGGTCTAAGAAGTCTGGGGCCAAAGGCTTCATGAAGCAGCAAGCAAGCCTCCGGTCTACACAAGAAGCACAATCAAACCCAAACGCTAAACCCTTTCAGCGCTCCGGGACCCAGAACCCTCAACACGAAACCCTTTTCAGCCCCTAAACCCTAAACCCTAAACCCTAAACCCTTAACCCTAAACCTCGCAACTGCTCCTGATGGGGCCGTGGATGATGGCGGTCCTGGCGTGGGCTCCCACTCTCTGGTGGGGTTAGGGGTTCGGGATTCAAAGGGCTTTAACATAGTGGTCGGAATGATTAGGAATGGGAATAGTCTTACAAACATACTATAGTAGTCCCCAAAACCCGGTTCAAACCATTCAGGCCCTTTTTTAGGGGTCTAGGGGCTCACGGACTTAAACTAGGGTTGAGGGTCCTGATGTCCTACTGAGCAACTTGTCCTCTCAAGAACCCCCACTTGACACCTTTGGAACCTCAACACCCCTTAACCCTTAAACCTTAAACCCTAAACCCTAAACCCTAAACCCTAAACCCCAGACCCAGAGCCCCAAAAGCCTGGCCTCTCGGGAAAAACGTCTGCGGAGCGCTCCAAGAAGTGCAGGGGCGTTAGTGAGGCGAAGTTCCTGAGACTGTTTCCGGTCAGGGCCGTTCAAGATGGAGAATTCCGGGGTTTAGGGTTTAGGGTTTAGGGTTTAGGGTTTGGGGTTTGGGGTTTGGGGTTTAGGGTTTAGGGTTTAGGAGGGTTTAGGGTTTAGGGTTTAGGGTTTAGGGTTTGGGGTTTGGGGTTTGGGGTTTGGGGTTTGGGGTTTTGGGTTTAGGGGGATCGGGCTTGTTAGTCATTGGGGCTTTAGGACTTTAATTTTCCAGGGCTTCGGGAAGGTTAGGATTTGGGGTTACCGTTCCGACTTTAGGGGAGTTCGTCGCTTGGTGCTGGCTTGCCTGCCTGCCACCAGATCCCCCTCACCCAAAAAGCCCTAACAAACCCTAACTAAAGCCACCAGCCCCCAACTATAAAACACACCGTGCACTCTGAACCTTCAACCCCAGAACGATTCCAGACCCTACCCTAATTTAAACCCTAAACCGTAAGCCCTAAACCCTAAACCCTAAACCTCTCTTTCATATATTATTTAAATGTTAAGGAGTTACTGGGCAAGGTCACTTTTTTGCTGGGCAAGCTCACTTTTTTGCTGGGCAAGGTTATTTTTTTACTGGGCAGGGTCATTTTTTTACTGGGCAAGGTCGCGTCGTCCAAAAAAACGACCGTGCCCAGGAAAAAAATGACCTTGCCCAGTAAAAAAACAACCTTGCCCAGTAAAAATGTTACTGGGCAAGGTCGTCTTTTTACTGGGCAAGGTCATCTTTTTACTGGGCAAGGTCATTTTTTAACTGGGCAAGGTCATTTTTTTACTGGGCAAGGTCATTTTTTTACTGGGCAAGGTCATTTTTTAACTGGGCAAGGTCACTTTTGTTACTGGGCAAGGTCGTTCCATAAGTGAAATATTTTCTTAATGTTGTGGGATTCTTTGGGCGGGTGGGTATTTTTCTGGAGTAATCAATTTCTTGACTAGTGAATGCTTGGACTTGAGATGCTGAACCCTAAGCCCCAAACCCTAAACCCTAAACCCCAAACCCCAAACCCTAAACCCTAAACCCTAAACCCTAACCCTAGGTGCATTGCTCACTTCCCTGGCATGAGGAGGCGAGCTGCGGGCTTGAGGGGTACCCTGAACCCTGAGCCGTACAAACAGTATCGGTTTAGGGTTTCGGGTTTAGGGTTTCGGGTTTAGGGTTTAGGGTTTCGGGTTTAGGGTTTATAGGGCTTATAGGGCTTGGAGTTGATACAGCTTTTGTATGGCTAAACCCTAAACTTGACAAACCCTACAAACCCTATAAAGCCTCTAAACCCTATGCAAAAAAAGGGTTGATAGGCTGAACGTGAGGTGTATAAGATCTGAGGAAGTCGAGTCTGATGCCCCCCCCCCCCCCGTTTAGTTTACGTGTTTTGGGTTTAGGGTTTAGGTCATCATGAAACACTAACTAGGGGCGTGGGTGGGAGTATGATGAGTAGACGGTCTGAAGGGGGAGAAGGTCCCGAGAAATGTACAGGGCTATTTCCAAGTCATCCCCCGCATCTAAACACCCTAAACCCTAAACCCTAAACCCCTAACCCCCTAAACCCTAAACCCCTCTGTTTCAATGGCCAAGAGGCGCTGAGTTCTTCGGGGGGCCTGCGGTGCCATTCATGGCGCGGGCACACGGAGCGCGGGAACGGAGGGCGCGGAGATCCGCAAAGGATGGCTGCTGCAACGGCCGGGGGCTTTGCGGGCTTGGGGTTAAGGTTTTAGGGTTTAGGGGCTATAAGGCCCCTCCTGAATTCACATGTCTTCCATGATCGGATTCCCTCAGCAGGGAATCACCAACAAGGGACCATGACAAAAAACAGCTCAACCTTAAACCCCCTAAACACCCTAAACCCGAAAACGCCCCTACATCCCAACAACCCTGAACTTGAAACCCTGAAACCCCCCAAACCCAAAACCCGAAAGCCTCGCCCTAAACCCTGCCCTACCCAAAGAATACTTTAAGGGGCTTGTATAACAAGAACCTACCAAAAAGGTAGGTTTTGGGTTCTGAAGGTGCTAAACCCTAAACCCTAAACCCTAAACCCTAAACCCTAAACCCTAAACCCTGAACCCTGAACCCTGAACCCTAAACCCTAAACCCTAAACCCTAAACCTAAACCCTAAACCCTAAACCCTAAACCCTGAACCCTGAACCCTGAACCCTGAACCCTGAACCCTAAACCCTAAACCCTAAACCCTAAACCCTAAACCCTAAACCCTAAACCCTAAACCCTACACCCTAAACCCTAAACCCTAAACCCTGAACCCTGAACACTAAACCCAAGCCGGCGCCCCGACTGCCGAGCCCCAGCTGGCCGCAAGAGCAGGCGCCCCAACCTTTAGGGGCTCAAGGGGCTTCAGGGGCTTCAGGCGGTTTACGGTTTAGGGTTTAGGGTTTAGGGTTTAGGGCTTAGGGCTTAGGGCTGAGGGTTTAGGGTTCAGGGCCAGGGTTGAGTTTAGGGGGTTAGTGGCTGGGGTTTAGGCTTAGGGTTGAGGCTTCAGGGGGATGCGGGGGGTGTTCAGGGTTGAGGGTTCAAGGGTCCAGAGTTTAGAATTCAGGGCTTGGGCGCGCACAGGAGTCGGTGCTTTGGATTCATGAGCCTCAGAGGGAAACCCCAAAACCCGATAACCCGGAAACCCTACAACCCTAAACCCAAAAACTTTAAACCCTAACCCTATAACCCTAAACCCTAACCCTAAACCCGAAACCCTATAACTTTTAACCCTAATCCCTATAACCCTGACCCCCCTAACACCCTATAACCCTAAGTTCCAGACATCTCTGGGCCCTGGGCTGTACAAGTTGCCGGTGGCCGAGACAGCAAGGGAGTGCGCCTGGAGGGCCAAGAAGAGATCTGCAGCTTTGGGGATTTGGGGATTTGGGGTTTGGGGTCTTGGGGTTTAGGGGTTCAGGGTTTAGGAGCAAGTTCTAGAAACAAAAACACCAACTCTGTTCGAGTGGCAATCCTTAAGCGCGAGGGACTCGGCGATCTGGTTTGGAATTTTTGGAGACTTCGGGAAGATGAACGCTAAACAAGCATGCTTGCACATTGAATTGGTGGAGTCCGTGTTTCCAACACCAATGCGTTTGGACCCTTAGCCTTACAGCTTGGTACTATTGTGAGGGTACCTTTTTTTCATCGCGCTATTACAAGGGTACCCGTTTATGAGTGGTTACACAGAACTCCAAGAAAGTGCCGTACCAGCCTCAAAAAGTTAGACTCCTTGATGAGTCGAGGGTTTTGGGTTTAGGCGGCGAACCCTCTTCAACCCAAGGGGGGGGCATAGACTCCCAGATGATAGGAACCCCACAGGGCCAAGAATAAGAGTTAATAGATCCTCAGACCCCGAAGAACCCAGGAAAGATCACGACAAACAAGGGCCCCCCTTCGTGCCTCCCCGCAGGCAATGTCGATGATCCTGCACAGGAAACCCTAAACCCTAAACCCTAAACCCTAAACCCTGAACCCTAAACCCAAAATCCTAAACCCTAAACCCTAAACCCTAAACCCCAAACCCTAAACCCTAAACCCTGAACCCTACAGGAATGGACCTAGAGGACCTCTCAACTGAGGGCTCTGCTGAGTGAATCGCTTTGTCGCTATGGTGAGTTCGCAAAATTCTGGTCCCTTTCTGGGTACCCTAGATAAGAGGGGCCGCCTTATAATCAGGACCCCAAAAGAGACCCCAACTTAGAGAAACCACCATATAGGAGCTTCGGGTTTGGTTTGGGAAGCTGGTTGAGGGTTCGTGGTCACCATCGAAGTCTCTGGACCAAAAGGTTTTAGGCTTCCCCTCCCATTTTGCCTGCATTGCTGTTGGTTGCGGCGGAAGAGTTGTAGGTTTAGGGGGAATATGGCGATTAGAGGTTTAGGGTGCCGTTGTTTCAAGGGATTTTGCGGGCTTTTGCGGTTTAGGAGTAGGGTTCAGGCCATTCAGGAACTTTATAGATCTTTTTTGGGGTTGGGTAGTTCTTGCCTAGAAAGTCCATGAGCTTTTGGCCCTAGATCCGTACAGACGCTTCGAGAAAAAACTCTAACTCTAAACCCTAAACCTACGTTGGCTCGGCTCTGCGTGCCTTTGATCCGCCAGCGCCTCGATCGCCGCCGGTGTGGGAAGGTGCCTCGACCACGTTTAAGCAGGTTTAGGGTTTAGGGTTTAGGGCTTAGGGCTTAGGGCTTAGGGCTGAGGGCTTAGGGCTTAGGGCTTAGGGTTTAGGGGCCTAGGGGGTTTAGGGCTTGGGGGTTCTAGGGTTTTAGTGGGGCTGAGGGTCTCGATACAACTCCTAAAACACCTGAACCCTAGTGAGAGTGATGCCTTCCTAGCCCCACAACAAGATGCCTTTAAGGGACAATTCTGGGGTACAACCGTAACGTACTGTAACTCTAGACCGAGTCTGAGAGCTTTTTGGGTAGTTCCCTAACACAAGGGTCACTTTGGCGGGGTCCCTTTTTTAACGGTGCCGCCCATATGGGAACCCAAAAGTGGGCACCCCAAGTTAGAGGAAGTACCCATGTAGGGTTTTGGGGTTTGGGGTTTGGGGTTTAAGGTTTAGGGTTTAGGGCTGCCTCAGGATTTCAGGAGGTCGTCCGACTCTCCAAGCCTCCACAGCCCCAACCTTGAGCCGCTCCCTCACACAAACTTGGATGCACTGGAGCACGTCAACTCGCCCTAAACCCGATAAATCCTATAAACCCTATAAAGCCTGTGAACCCTCTTAAACCCTATAAACCATGTAAACCCTAAACCCTAAATAAACCCTACGCCTACTCGTTGAGCAATCCAGGTGAATTTCTTTGATCCTCCAAGTTGGTTCTTGACCATCCCAAGCAGACTCCAAAAGTGTCAAAAGCTACCTACTCGGCACCAAAGTACGAGAACTAATCCCTCTCCCGAATTATTCACCCCACCCCTCCCCGAACATGACATCTTCCAACCGCTCTCTAACTGGGATTGACTGGGAAGATTTTCAAAATAAGGGAGTGGGGACCTAGATAGTGGGGGGAGAAATAAAAGGGGAGAGGGCTCCCACAACCCGAAAGCCTCACTCCGCCCCAAAGCCCAGGTCTTGGGCAAGCGCGGAATGCCATCAGGGTCTTTCCGTATCCTCGGATCGTCCGGGTTCATGATCCCTAGCCTCGGATCACGCGGGGTTCAACAGGATTTGGGGGTATGGGGTGAGAGAAGAGGTTCAGACCTAACCCAGGCGAAAGCTTCCCTAAGCAAACCCACAACCGGAGAGCTTGCCGGGCTCAGGCGCGCGATGCAACCAAGAGAAGTCAAGCAAAATGCCCCCCAAACAACCCCCTAGAAAACAGAGCTCAGCGCACGGGCTTCAAAGCCTGTCCAGACGGTACCGTTAATTGTGAGATAGGTCTGCCCCAAAAAAAGGCAGACGCTGTGAAAGAACGGCAAGACCTTCGAGCAGGCTGCGTGCGGCAAGTGCCACCCGAACTCCTCTAAACCCCAAACCTAGTTCATGGTTGAGGTAATATTAAACTCTGAATTTCAATTCCTTATTGAGTTTTCGTACCCTTTTAAATGCAGAATGTTACCCCACTGTGACAAAGGAACCCCAAACACCCTAAAAACACCCCAAACCCCAAAACGCTTCATGCCCGACATCTGGCTGCTCCGCACTGGGGAAGCTCACTGGCCGCAAGAGTTCGCACCCCAGCCTTGGCTCAAGCTAGAGGTGCCAAAGCGGGCATCCCTGACACAGGGGTTTTTGTTGGGTTTTAGGGTTTAGGGTTTAGGGTTTAGGGTTTAGGGTTTAGGGTTTAGGGTTTAGGGTTTAGGGTTTAGGGTTTAGGGTTTAGGGTTTAGGGTTTAGGATGATTTCAGTAAGTATGGTCATTGGACCCCAGAGACGGCCAAGCACACGAGTCCTTGGATTTATGGTAGGGCTTTGGGCGGTCGGGAGGGCTGAGGAGGCCGGATTGGGTCCTCCGGATTAGGGTCGGGCTTCAGCAACATGAGGACATAAGAACCGGCTTGGAGATTCATGGGTATTTACCAGTAGGGTTGGAAGTATGGTACCCATTGTTTAAAGATCGTTAAACACCTTATCTAGGGTGCTTATCACGCTACTACACGTACCTGTGACGTACTGACTGCTGGCCAAGCTCAAGTGACTTACGTCCAAGACCTATCATCCCCCGACGTCCTACACTCTGAGCCCTCCAGCATACACATGCAAAGCACGAAGGCCTTTCCGCTCTCCATTTCGGGACGGTCTCAAGAGATCCTAGCCGGCCTTTGCTCCGCTCTTGGAGCAACCTGATTGAACACAGACCCCCCCCAAGACAGCACCAGGCAGCAGTAGAGGCGTCCATCTTTGTCCACTGTCAGAGAATGCCTGGTGCTTCGAGGACGTTCACAGTTTGAGGGTTTCCGGGTTTTGAAAGTCTCGGGGGGAAGGCTCCAAATCGAGGCTTGGGTATCGGCATCGTAGTTTTACTGCGTTGCAGTTGGTCGCCCAAAAGGCGCGCAACGGGTGAGTGTTCAGCCACGGGCAGAAAACGGCCGTGCAGCTTTCATTATGGCCCTCCCACACGCGCCAGGAAAAACACTCTGAGAACCAAGGCTATCTAAGCCTCAGACGCCCCACATGCAAACCCTGTACAAAACTTTTTCATAGTATAATATGGATACTTGTAATTCTGCATTTTCGTTGTTCTTAGTTATGAATTCATTGATATTATTTGTTCTGAACTCTATAACTTTTGCCAAGGTGTGTACTCTAGGTATCTAGGGATTGGGGTGTGGGCCGTAGGGTTTGGGGTTTAACCCTAAACCCCAAACACCCTAAACCCCTAAACCCCTCAACACGAGGTAAGCTTCCCCACAGGCGCCCCGGCGAGTCGCCGCAGGCCAGGCGGACGATGTTTTCCAAGCCCAAGATTCGCTGGGGCGTGGGCATGTACGGACCTTACCACCAATTGCTTAAGGACCCCCCCCCCCAAAAAAAAAAATGTTATTCCTTCTAAGGGTAATATAGGGATTTTTATTGTGTGTTTTTTGGGGGTTCTTAAGCATGTACGGACCTTAGAAGTTGGGGTCTTGCCGCTGCCTAGAAAAAAACCCTGCACTCAATAAGTTTTAAACTCTAAACCCCCCGAACACGTAAACCCTCACAACCAGATTTCGGGCTCTTAGCGTGTCGGGATGTGCCGGGATCCCTCCCCTACGATGCTGCCAGCGAACCTTGGGTTGCAAGTGGGGGACTTCAGGTTTCAGTTGTTGCTTAAGGTCGAGGGCTTAGGGTTCACGTTCTTGTGCTTAGGGCCGAGTCATTTTCAAGAAGCCCCAGGGCGGGGAAGGGGTACGCTGTTTAGCTGCGCGTTCTGGAGGGGGACTGCTACAAGGTCTCACTGGGAGACCTCTTTCACGGAGGATGAGGCACAGCTGGGGATGCGAGATTTATGAGGTCCCAGCTTCAACCAGCGAGCCGATCTATTTATTTGAAATATCTAGGGCACGCCATGGTTTTTGGTTCCTTTTTCTTTTTTTGGGCGGAGGGGTCCATGTACCTACGAGAGATTGTCCTATGTTTGGGGTCTAGTCCGTTTTCCTCTGCTTACCTCAGGCTGTCGCAGTTGTCGGCGTCCACTGGCATTGCCAACACGTCCTGTGCGTAGGGTCGGTGGTGAAAGGTCCGACATTTCGAGCCCGAAGCCCCAGTTAGTCCCTAAGCAAAAACCCCTCAACCCCAAGATGCCTAAACCTCCCACCCCCCTTCCTTCGAAACCAATCTCTCGATCCCCCGCATCCTCTTTCGAGCAAACAGCAACTCGAACCGTGAGCCGCGGCGAGGCTGCAAAACAGATTCTTGGGTGTGTTCGAGTCGCATCCTTTCTTCTTGAGTGGGGGCGGCAGGGGGGGGGTCTTAAAACTCGGGGTACAAGGCTTAGGCTAGGGTTTTTGTGCTTGCCAAAGGACCAGGATGAAGAGCCCTCAACCTCTTAAGCCCAGAGGCCTCACGTTCGCAACCTCTTGAAGCTCCGTCCTTGACGCCAAGCTGTCCGTAGGATCCTCCTCCGAAGGAGTAGACGTCCCCCTCGTCGGTGAGGGCGAGGGTGTGGACCTTGATTTGGTTTAGTTTCGGGTTCAGTTGAAGGGTTTGGGCTATGAGGCCCTGAGAAGAAACAACCCTGCACAAGGCCCTTCAAAGGCATTCCACTGGGGCTTTGGCTGTATGGTGCTGCTTAGAGCTAGTAGCAAGTTTCCAGCTAGCTTTGGAGGGGTCCGGCGGTGGAGACATATACATAGACATACATACATAGACATACATACATACATACATACATACATACATACATACATACATACATACATACATACATACATACATACATACATACATATATGTATATATATATATACATATTCATATATATATATATATGTATATATATATATATATTCATATAATATATATATATATATATTCATACACACGCACGTGCTGAGCCCAGGCCCCCTCAAACATCCCGTACACCCGGCTCCCTGCAGTTCCAGGTCCCCAGCGTCGCCGCAGGCCGTGGCGATGACCTGGCCAACTCACAGATGTTAAGGGTTTAGGGTGTAGGGGTTTAGGGTTTAGGGTTTAAGGGTTTAGGGTTTAAGGGTTTAAGGTTTAAGGGTTAAGGGTTTAGGGTTAAGGGTTTAGCTTTAAGGGTTAAGGGTTAAGGGCTGCTTTGAGAGCTGGGTACGTGTCACTTCTTCGCAGAGACTTCGGGAATTTGGCACCAAAATCTTATATCCCCCTTTTTTAACCCTTCAAGGGGTGCTATCGGGAACCTAATTCCTGGTTGGATGGGCAGTGCACGAAGGAAGATATGAGTTTTGACTTCTGGGTTCTTGGGGAATTACACCTTGTAAGAGACTGCCTTGCCTTGCGCATGGCAAGCATGTCTCCGGTGTTTCATAAGAAAGACTCGGCATGTGGAGGCACTTCTTTCACCGAAGCATTCGGTGCCTAGAAATGTCAACAGCGTCCGACGACAAGCATCGCAGCATGGGAGCAGCGAAATGGAGCAAAATGACTTCTTGCAGGTGTTAACTTCGTACTGTAGGATTCCTAGCTCACGTCCGCCCCTGCAGGAGGTTCATGTGACATGGGCCTTTAGGGCTTCGAAGGTCTGGGCCTCAACTGCGCTCCTCACCAGAACACTCTTGTAGTGTAGAATCGCAGAAGCACTCTCGGCGCCGGGCCCGCACGTCCCTCAAATGGTCCACCTCGCGGGGAACCTCGCACGCTCGAAGAATCCGGGCGCGGGGTTGAGGATTCAGGGTTTAGAGTGTAGCCAGTGCTTAGGCAATGTAGGGGGCGATGGACACAGCTCCGCGAAGGGAACAGACTGTGACCCCGGGGCCCCAACCCCGAAGCAGCCTTTCAGACAATGTGGAGGGGGCGGGGGCTTGCAAGGAGTGAGGGCTGCTAAGCTCCGGCTTGGTCAGGTTCGACAATGCTTGGGCACGCTCAGGGAACTGCCACGAAATGGCCAATCCCAGAGTCTCAAGGGATTCTGGGGCGATGACTCTAAGATGCCCCTGCGCTAGCCTTCAAGGTGCTTGCAGAACGTTTAAGATTCGGGAGCAAAACCCTGCTTTTTGGACCCGATGGCTACGCGTCTGGCAGCATGTGGTGGGGTGAGGCGGAGAAATGTAATGTCAAGATACGACCATAAGATAGAAAGTTGTCTACAGGAAATTGACCACCCCATCCAAATAAAAGAAAAAGTGAAAGAAACCAAAAGCACAGATAAAAACCATTGAATCTACTGGGCTTTTTAACTATAAAACAGAATGACATTGAAAGACTTCTCATAAAGTAAAATAGGAAGAAGATAGAAGTAAGTAAGATAACGAATCCTGCATTTTTTGTACAGCTTTTAACATACCATATTGGCATCAGAAATACCATTCAGGTACTATATGTAAAGGAGTCAGTAATCCACATGCTTCTAAAGCATTTCCTGGATGTGAGAAAGAAGAGAAGCCGAAATGAATTGAGAATATATAGATGTTAAAATCATTGCTGCGCGGCCTTCGGCTTGCAAGGACGATCACAAACGCGGGATCAGGTACTGGGACATAGGCTCAGAGAGACCTCGCTGCAAACAAGTGGCCGGCTGAAAAGGATAGCCGTCCTCGTCCGAGGGGAAGCTGCCTCACGAAGCTCTCAAGGCAGAGCCTAAACCCCGAGCCCAAGCCCGAAACTAAAAAAACTCTAAACTCTAAACTCTAAACCCTAAACCCTAAACCCTAAACCCTAAACCCTGAACCCTAAACCCTAAACCCTAAACCTAACCCGAAACCCTAAACCCTAAGCTGGCCGAAGCTGCCCTGGACCTGCAAAAAAAAACCAAGGCTCAGGGTCCCGAGTAGACTCCAGCACTAGGCAGCCCCAATTGCAAAGTCCTTCTTCCTGGATGAAGACGGCTTAGGGTTGGCGTATTTAGGGTTTAGGCTTTTCGGGCTTCATGAACCGAGCAGAATGACATGACACGGCCCCAGAACAGGCCATTCAGGGCTGTGGGGATGGACTTCGTCAGCGCGAGGCAGGTCCGGGAACCCTAAACCCTAAAGCCTAAACCCTAAGCCTCACCCCTAACCCCCAACCCCTAACCCCGAGGCGGGGTCGTAACCGCAATAAAGACCCATTTTTTAACCACGACAAGGAATCACTTAACCATGATGAGGATTTGTGCCTCAGTGCATGATAGCCACAATGCCTGAGACCCTTCAACCACCCACAAAACGCCCCCGAAACCATTCTAAGCCCCAACCCCAAGCCCTAAAACGAGCCCAAGGCTCCAAAACCAGGGTCTTTCTGTCACCCCCCCCCCAGTGACAAAAAGGCCTGAGAATTGATGTTTTGGGCCTCGCAAAGCTCCAAAACCAGGGTCTTTCTGTCACTGCCGGTGCGCCCGCCTGGGAGTGACAAAAAGGCCTGAGAATGGAGGTTTTGGGCCTCCCAAACCAGTGCGCCCGCCGGCCCGCATGGGAGTGACAAATAAGAATGGAGGTTTTAGGCACCCAAAGCTCCAAAACCAGGGTCCGTGCGCCCCCCCCCCCCCCCCCCCAGACCCGCATGGGAGTGAAAAAAGGTTTTGGGCCTCCCAAAGCTCCAAAACCAGAGGGTCTTTCTGTCACTGCCTGTGTGCCCCGCCACTCTCCCGCAGGCCTGCATGGGAGTGACAAAAAGGCCTGAGATAGAGTTTTGGGCCTCCCAAAGCTCCAAAACGGTCTTTCTGTCACTGCCCGTGCGCCCCCCCCCCCCACCCCCCAAGGCCCACATGGGAGTGACAAAAAGGGTTGAAATTGAGGTTTTGGGCCTCCCAAAGCTCCAAAACCAGGGTCTTTCTGTCACTGCCTGTGCGCCTCCCAAAAAGGCCTGAGAATGGAGGTTTTGGGCCTCCCAAAACCAGGGTCTTTCCCCCCAGGCATGCATGGGAGTGACAAAAAGCCTGAGGATTGAGGTTTTGGGCCTCCCAGAGCTCCAAAACCACTATCATTGTTAACCACTATCATGCCAACCCTAAACCACTATCATTGTTAAAGAAACCCTTGTCATTGTAAAAACGTGTTTTTCATGGTTAGAACCCCTACTCCCTAACCCCCCCCCCAAACAAAAAAAAAGACGCAAAAACACAGCCCTCAGCCCGCCAAAACAAGAAAACAGAGATTTGCGGCCCTAAACCCTAAACCCTAAACCTTAAACCCAAACCCTAACTAAACCCTAAAGCATCCCGGAGGTGCTTCCAGAAGCCCGGCGGAAGAGAGGCCAATAGGGATGTGATGAAGGAGGGTTTCGGGTTTAGGGCGTAGGGCTTAGGGCTTAGGGTTTAGGGTTTAGGGTTTAGGGTTTAGGGTTTAGGGTTTAGGGTTTAGGGTTTAGGGTTTAGGGTTTAGGGTTTAGGGTTTAGGGTTTAGGGGCCTAGGGGTCTTGGGGGTTCTAGGGCATAAGTCAGCCCTTGAGGACTTCGGGACGCACCCGATGCTGGGTGCCAGGCTGGTGTCAGGGTGGCCGAGCTGCCCGCAGGCACCCGCACCTTCGGGAGATTAAGGTTAGGGTTTAGGGTTTCGGGTTCAGGGTTTAGGGTTTAGGGTTTAGGGTTTAGGGTTTAGGGTTTCGGGTTTAGGGTTTGGGGTTTAGGGTTTAAGGTAGTTTCGGGTTTAGGGTTTGAGGGTTTCAGGGTTTCAGGTTTCAGAGTTTCAGGGTTTCAGGGTTTCAGGGTTTCAGGGTTTCAGGGTTTCAGGGTTTCAGGGTTTCAGGGTTTCAGGGTTTCAGGGTTTCAGGGTTCAGGGTTCAGGGTTCAGGGTTTCAGGGTTTCAGGGTTTCAGGGTTTCAGGGTTTCAGGGTTTCAGGGTTTCAGGGTTTCAGGGTTTCAGGGTTTCAGGGTTTCAGGGTTTAGGTTGTACGGTTCATACGGGTTTTTGCGGTTGACAGGGTTTGTAGGGCTTGCAACTCCCAATACAAGCCCTGCTGCGGAAACATGAACATGCAACGTGCTTCAGCAAATCAGTCCCGCCCAAACCCTCCATTTTCTCACGATGCCGATAGGTACGACAGGTCCGAGTCCTGTAACCACGGCGTCTTGTCGCCATGATGCCGGACGTCGTGTCGTCCCGCATAGTCCTGCGAAGATCAGCACCCCAACATGTTCAGGGTGGAGAGGGAGGGAGAAAAGTTCTACAGCTCAGGGTCTTGGCCGGGCCGGCCCCTGAGCCTCAACATGTTGGATGAGATCACGTCCCACCCTGCCTCCCTAAGCAAAGCACTGGCATGTTACATTCACATAAATGTTTCTTCCAACATGCAACGTGCTTCAGCAAATCAGTCCCGCCCAAACCCTCCATTTTCTCACGATGCCGATAGGTACGACAGGTCCGAGTCCTGTAACCACGGCGTCTTGTCGCCATGATGCCGGACGTCGTGTCGTCCCGCATAGTCCTGCGAAGATCAGCACCCCAACATGTTCCCTCTGCATGTTTTAACTTGCGGTGCTGTCTGAACTGGAGTCGCTGGAGCTACTGGGAAAACATCTGTCACACTTGCGAGCCCCCTCGGGCAGGTTATCACATCTAACGAAGGCGTTGACTCCATGGGGCCATCCGCAAAGGGTCCTCCAAGTGTTCGGAGGGCGCAGGTATCCATCCACAGAAGCCTTGTGCCAGGTTTTCCGCCTGTCTGGGTTCTGAATGTAGGCGCTCGGAGCAGCAAGGAGCTGCCTCTTGAGCAAAGAAACCTCTTCTTGAGCCATCTTCCGCATGGGCCCCTTGATCCGCTCAGCGACGAACTCTGCCCTCTCCAGCTGGGAGGGCTTCGACGGGCACTGCTTCTTCACTTCTTCCAGTGCCTGGGCCAGTTCGTCCAACCTACTGTGTAGCTCTTGCTGGACTTTGTTGCGCACATAGTCTCTGCTCATCTTCTTTAGAGGAGCAGATTTGGCATAGTGCACGAGCATCGCACTCTTCCATCGAGCCATGAGCTCGATCTGGTAAAGGTGCACCCCTTCGCTCGCCAACAGCACAGCTCCGCCGGTACGCATGGAATGTCCCCCCATCAGCTCATTGCCGTCGGAGTCCACAACAGTGATGCCAGCACGTCTATGCCATACCTTGAGCGTCGAGACCACCGCTTCTTTGGCAACAGTCTCACCTCTCACTGACGGAAAGAAAGGAAGCCCAGCCGGTAGAGCGCCATTCTCGTCACCGAACAGGTCCTTGAGGAACTCCATCTGTCGCACCGCTGCGTGAAAAGGACAGAGCCAAATTGTGTTGGCCTCACACAAGCAATGCCATTCCCTAGTGGTGGTCAAAGCCGTGCTGTCAGTCTTCGATGAAGGCAGTAGCCAGCACACCATCTTCAGAGCGAAGTCCAAAGTTATGCTGGAAGCAAGCGAGAGGCTGGACTCGATCTCGCGCAGCATAAAATAGACGCCCAGAACCGCAACATTCCACGGGCCAACAGGGCCATCTTCCACCAGCGGTTCCGGAGAGCTAAGCAGGTCAGAAGGCATTTCTGCCACGCGTTCCAGCTGTAGAGGTTCGGACTGACGACTGGGGCCCAAACCCCTTCGGACGCTGCGCTTAATCTGCCTGGCCTCCAGGTCAAGCAGAACGGGCCAGCTGCCAGTTAGCCTTATGTGCTGTTGCTTCGCCTTGGTCAGGTAGTTGGGAAAACTGCGGTAACCTCGGGCCTTGAACACAGCACCAACAGCCCGCAGCTTTTCCACACTCAAAGGGAAAGCAGGCTCTCCATTGGCTCCGAACCAACTCTCATGCACTGATTGCCAGGTCTTGAGCAAAGCCGCGTTGGGGCCCTTGGAGGATGCCGCCTCCATGTCTGAGACCAAACTTTCCAGCGCAGCTCTTTTCTCCTCCTCTGGGATTCTTCCCCCCGTCCACTTTTGAGCGCCCTTACTAAAACGTGTTATGGGCGCATCTGCCCGCTTCGCCCATTTGGAAGCAGGCTCCGGTCCAGCCAGACGGGCTAGCGCGGAGCTCTCTGACTCTCCGGTTCCAGCGGCAGGGGGGCCCTCCCACTCCATTTCAGCAACTCGCTCATTGACCCTGGACAAGTCTACCCTAGGCAAGAACGGGACTGCCTTCTTTCTCCTCATCGAGCCAACCTGAGTCAGCGATTGCACACGCAGGCATGTCCAAACTTGCAAGACAGTACTCACCGAAAACCCCAGAATCGCACACAAACAGCAAGCCCTCAGGAGACATGTCTGCCAATGCAACCAGCATGCTCAAAGGGAACATGTGAGTGCCAAGCCTGGTTCCTATTGCAGCCTTACGCGAAAGGAGCGCAGGGCATCCCTGCTTGCAGCAGCAAACACTCAAACCTAGCAGTCAACACAGCAGGCCCTAACCCTAACCCAGCATGCAAGGCCAAGCGTACGAAGTGAGTGTGTATCCTATACACCAACTGCACCAACCATGCCATTTAGGAACTGAAATGGAGGCGACCAGCCCACAGGCCGAATGTTTTGGCGGGAAGCGCCCAATGCGCTAGCAGTCATGTGCTACCGAGCCGGTAGGAGCCAAGCGCCCAATGCGCTAGCAGTCATGTGCTACCGAGCCGGTAGGAGCCGTCGGCCCCCATCTACTCCGCTGTGCTTGCGGCCGACTCGCATTGAAAGAAATTCTCATTTCGGATCGGAACTTTTGCTTCAGTGGCGTGCTTCAGAACTTCAGGCAACACGAAAGACTTTCCAGGCTGAAAGCGTCTGCTGAGCTTGTCGGAGACGACGTTGGAGACACCTGGGATGTGTTCGTGCCACCTAGGTCGGTAACTGCAACGACTGAAGTCCAGAGCCAACTCTCGAGCAATTCGGCCGAGACCTTTAGCTTTGGGTTTTGCCCTGAGCTTCATAAGGAGGCTAAGAGCAGAAACACTATCCGATCCAATGTGAAGTTCGACCCCGCGTCTGACCCAGTACGAGCGCCAGATGCGCAGAGCCATCAAAAGTGCCAGTGACTCCCACACCTGCTGGCCATCTGGCGACCCGAGCGCGGCATTGGCGAGCCGCAAGTCAAATTCGCAGAGCTCATCAGAAAAGTAGGCGATCGGCGTGTTATTCATCGCCAAATAGCCTCCAATGCCCCAAGGGGACGCATCTGTGACGATCCGTACCTTGATTGACTTGCCAAAGTAGTGACTGACGCGGTACTCACGCACCAGAGCGCCGGCTTCACCCTGGTAGAAGGCGATTATCCACGCTGTAACGTGTGCCCACTGTCTGGTCCAGACGCAATTCGGAGGCCTTGCATCCGGACCACAGCTGTTTATAACAGCCCACAAGTCTGTCAGGAAGGGGCGCCATGTGTCAACGACGCCCGCCACGTAGTTCGCCTTCCCAACGTACTTTTGCAGGTCTCGGACGCTGACCACGTTGGTCCTTTGGTGAGCTAATGTGGCTTCAAGGATCTCCTCCATCAGCTCGGCTTTGCCAGTGACAGTAACTTTGCCGTCCTTGCCTGCCAAAATGCAATAGCGCACGCCTATCCAGGTAAAGTCGTTGCCCCGGGCGGCTTTGCCAAAGGCCAGCGGAATGCGAAGCGCCGACCACAAACAGATAAGTATCGACGCCAGGCGATCGCGGCGGTTCCTATCTCCAGACATAAGAAAGCACGGATCATCAACATACAGCTGCAACCGCGCCTGATCAAGGAGGAACAGGGACTGACTCAGCCTGGCGATGTATGCGGCAATACGGCCGCATATGATGGGCGCATTTTTGCTGCCTTGAGTCTGTGTCGTGAACACAATATATCGCAGAGGCCCACCAGCTTTCTCGCGAAAGGCGGCGGTGAAAAAGCGTCTCTCCGAATGCTGGAGTGGCACGGAGTAAAACCAATCCTTGAAGTCCAGCACCAAAGCTTCCACCTCTTCGCCCTCAGCTCGACTGAGGAGAAATAAGGCGTCATCCACCAAATCCGTGGGTCGCGGCAACTGCACTCTGCCGCCTTTCTGAGCCAGCAAGTTAGCTCCGGACTCGCGACAGTCCAGGATGAGTCGCCGCTTGGTGGTGCCATCGGGCCTCACTTTGGTCACCATGGCGAGCTTGGAAGTGAGCGGAGTCCCTCCCAGCCACTCCTGACATGCATCCAAGTCATCAAACGTCTTGACGTAGCCGGTGTCAATCAGCCGCTGAATCTCGACAAGTGCCATGGGATCATCCTCCACGGATTTATAGTTCTCATGGCCAGACGGATCATGGAAGTAGTCCACGCCGTCGCCAGACTCCGGCTCAGCGTCATTTTGCGGGAAGATGCCTGGGTCCTTGATGGGTGCATCGATGCCAGCCGGGGATCCCCCCTTTAGCCAAGTCTCGATGTACTCCGCGTCGGGGTCACCAGCTTTACGGCCCCACGCACCCAGCAAGCCGTAGTCCAGGCCATGTTCACGCGTTCGCTCCCCCAGGCCGAAGAGATCCTCGAGCTCATGCACAATGGCCGCGACGTGGTCCTCGCTGGGAACCTTGTTGGGATCCTTTGACCCAATGGCCTCGAGGCATTGTTGCTGCAGGTCAGGATGGGAGTCCAAGTAGCGGTCCAACACCTTGAAGACGACTTTGCCCAGTCGGTCATAACCTCGGATTGTCTCCATCGCCTTCTTCGGATGCCGCATGCCGCCTAAGCAAGCTTCAACGTCATCAGGGCTCGTCTGACCAGAATGGCCTCTAAGAGAAGGCGCCCAAGTCAGTTTGGGCGCGACGCCATGGCTCCCATCGATCCCCCCAGTCTGCTCCTCACTGGTCTCCCTGACGAGCACGTTCTTCCACTTGCCCGCAAGCTTCCAAGTGGCAGTTCGAGGCGCAGCACAGGAATGGGCCCCATTGAGCTTCCCAGCCAGGTAGTCATTGAGACCGCCAGGGTACGACGCCGCCGCCTTAGTGAGATAAGGCGCGAATCGAAATTTAGCCCCTTTTGCATCTTCCGAGAGCAGCATGGCAGGCCGCCATTGATCCGCTGGGATGTAGGCCTCCTTTCCTTTCAGCGGCGGGTGAGCCGCCATCTTCCAAGCTCCCGAGCTGGGAAGTCGCCACCACCGTTTTGGATGTTGGCACTCGGCGACTGCATCGGCCAAGCCGACCTTGAAATGGACTAGGGAGGTGGGTTTCTCTGACGATGCCCCATAGTTGCACTGTGCCAGCCTGACATGTCGGACACCTTCCAGCGCAAGGAGGCGCTTAAACTCGGGCAAGTCAAGCATGCTAATCCCGTCACTGTTGTCAGGGCGCAGCGGCTGCTCCAGAATGACCGGCTTGTCCAGCTCATAAAAGCACATGAAGATATCAGCTGCCCTTAAAGCAAGAAGAGTGCCCAGCCTGACGTCCTCCTTCTCTTCCGGCGTGAGTCCGGATTGACCATAGATATCTCGATCGCCAGGCAGCCGTAGTGGTCGAGGCCCACCATCGTCCTCCTTGCGAGCATTTGAGAATGTATGGCACGGATACCCCCTGCCTAGGGGGGGGAGGGGGGTGGGGGAGGGGGGGAAATAGGGCTGGCCCTATTATGGGGGTTGGGTCTGGGCAGGGGGGGGATGGACCACTCTAACACGCTGTAACGCTCCGCACGCTTTGCATGGCTCACAATGCTCACGCTCTCTCAGCCCTATTTTTAGTTAGGGTGGAGACATTGACGAAAATAGGTTTGCCACCTATTTTTTTTAGGTGGGCCCTGAGGTGACACCCCCCCCCAAAACCCTATTTCTAGGGGGGGGGTATGGCACGGTGGCCCCAGCATCCCGCCATCGAACTCGCCCTGAATGACCCGGGACCTCAGCTTGCGATAGGCGGCATCATCCGCCAGGTCGTAGTCATCGCCATTCTCGATGTCCCAATCCTCGCAATCACAGCCAAGTAACCTGAGCGCGGAAGCCAATCCGTCAGAGCGACCAGCTGGACCACTGAACATATGCAGAAAACGAGGCCTCCCGGGTCTAGCACTTGCACAGCCCACGTCAGCGGATGCCTCTGCACAGGCCTCCGAAGGCGCCTCTTTCAATGTCCTCTCCGGACACTTCATTTGGGCGCCTCGACCTGCGCCACTGCAGGGGGAGACCTCTCCCCCCTCTCACGCCCTGCTCTTTCCAGCGCCCTTGCGCCCCCCCTTCGGCTTGAAGGTGCGGGGCTGCTTCGGGGCACTCTGAGGGCACGACTGTGCCCCATGCTCTTCGGACAAACATTTTGCGCATTGATGGCGCGTCCGCCCATTCTTTGCACAGAAACCGCTGCGATCCTTCTCCACGCACTCTCCTTTCTGAAAGCCGCGGCACAATTCGGCGCCTCGGCGGTTATGAGTCAAGAGGCCATCCTCGCCAACCACGTGTTGGCGAACATTGTCCTCGCGCTTGCGCTTGGCGGTGGTCGCGGAGGATGGGATGGTTCTGTCAGTGCCGGCATTCCCTGAGGTCTCTACCGCAGCGTCAGCACCCAGCATATGCGCCATCCTTTGCGTCTTGGCTAAAATGAGCAAAGCAGGTTCTTCGAGCTCTTTATGCCAAAACGATTGGTCTTTCACCAGCATCTTCCAGACGTATTCCCATGGTGTGGCAGGGTTGAACTCGTGAGTTCCTCCCGCAGCGATGGCGGCATCCATTTCCTCTTTTCCTTGGCGTCTTAGACGCTCGGCCAACTCCAATCTAGCCCGCACATCGGCTTGATAGAGCAGTGCCCAGCAGCTTCTGCCGTAACGTTCGTGATAAGACCGAATGTGATGCTCATAGCTGTCCAGTCTTGCAGGGGAGATTTGGCCGAACATGATGCATCCCGTCCTGAAGACACTGTAGCTCTCCCGCCATGCCTCGAAATCGGCAGGGCCCTGTATCTCCACCGGAATGATCTCACCTTGAGCGTTCAGCCGGATGCCTTTGAGCCTTATCTTCTTGGCCAAGCGGTGATGATAAGGTCCCCACACAGCCATGTCAGTGTAGGGCGCCCTCCCACTCTGGAACAAAGTGTGCAGAGTGGTGAGCTGCTCGGAGCTCAGCTCCTGATCCGGGGGCAGCGCTGCCCCAATCTTCTTGGTGTAGCGGGCGTAGGCATCAGTGATTGCTTGATCGTCCAGGATGTCGACTTCCATGTCATCAGTCTGGTTTATCACAGCATTGAGCTTGACCTTCCTTTTGGGAGCGGCCGACACTGTCACAGCAGCAGCAGCTGGCGAAGCGGACGGTTGCGTGACATTCAAACCCACAACGACTCTGCATGTCCTGCCAACTAACGCGCCTTGTCCAGACTGACGAGGGGTGGGATCCTGCTGTGTAACTGCCCCTCCTGAAACCACAGGCACCTTCCACTTCTCCAAAATTTTAGAGAAATCGTCTTCGGATATCATAGCAAACACACGCGGATGATCACTCCCATCCGAGCCCAGCAGAGAACTCAAAGAGCCGGCCTCCGTGTCCTTGTCCGCAGGATCACCGGCCAAACCAGCAAATTTAATCACATCGGCCAGCGTCTTGAATGATGGCCAGTCGGCCTGCGGAGGATCAATAGTCATTGATTCGAACCCTGAGGCCCGAAGGCAGCACTACAGACTGGGCTTGATGGAGCGAATGCGATCGCCGCAGCTTGCCAAAGCACAACCGAATGCTTAGATAGCCAGTCCAGCAGCAGCCAATGTGAAAAACTCAGGAGGCAGTAGCTCGCCAGCAGAACATCTCCACGCAGTCAGCGCAGACGACATGCACCCTTGATAGAAAAGTTCTACAGCTCAGGGTCTTGGCCGGGCCGGCCCCTGAGCCTCAACATGTTGGATGAGATCACGTCCCACCCTGCCTCCCTAAGCAAAGCACTGGCATGTTACATTCACATAAATGTTTCTTCCAACAACCCCAAAGGCTTCTAGAACCCAAAAGGCGTACAAGGGAACCTGAAACCCTAAACCTCAACCCTAAATCCTAAACCCTAAAACCCTAAACCCAAAAAAGGGGAATAAGGACTTACTGCGGTCCTAGGCTAAGACCCTCATCCTCCATGCTTCCCAAGCCCAAAACTGAACCCCAAAACTCTCCGGGTTCTAAAGGAAAATCAGGGGTAGATAGCGATTCCCCTGTTGAGTGCCTATATTTTGGGACCATGTAACTACCCTTAGACCTAAACCCTAAACCCGAACTCAACGCACTTTCTGAGGAATCAGACCCCAGGTGAATATCCGCCCCTGGTCGGACACGGCGATGGTGTGCGCCTTCGTGGGTGGGATTGCCCAACGTTCATGTCGACGCTGGTGGGTTTAGGGCCTAGGTTTCAAAAGTAGGGCCCACAATCTTTGTCAAGAGTCTGGGGGAGGGCGGGGGGGGAACTCTGTTTTTCTTTGCTTTGGGTCACAAAACAGATTTGTAAGCTCATACGAGTACCTCAAAATGTTCAAGCTCTCAAAACCTCCAAACTCGAAACGCTCAACACCTAACTCCTACAACCCAGAAATCGTAAATCAACCCTTGCTGCACCCCGAAATCTAGGGGTAGCTACATGGGCCGTTAATACTAGTATGGTCCCGTAAATGGGGACACCTTTTGTACACCTTACATACCCCATAAACGTGCTTCAGAAGGAAAGCGACCACATACAGGACCCCCAAACCCTATAAACCCTAAACCCTAAGACTGAAAGGTTTAAAACGGTGCAGAACCCTCCGCCCGAAGCTCCCGCAGGCGGCCCGGCCTTGCCACACGCAATCGTTGAGACCACGTGCGGTCGAAGGTGATCCACTACCTGGGCGTTGGCCGAGGGTTTTAGGGCTTAAGGCCGTTTAGGGTTTAGGGCTTAGGGCTTAGGGCTTAGGGCTTAGGGCTTAGGGCTTAGGGCTTAGGGCTTAGGGCTTAAGGTTTAAGTCAGGGTCTATGGGGTCTGCAGTGACTCGTTGATTTCTTGGGGAGTCACCACAGGGCTTTCTCGCACCGGGAGTGCAAACCAAAACCGCAAGGACGAGGATGGCGGCAACAGGCGGCAACGGCAGCTCATGCTCCGCCCCCATACTGTAGGGGCCTTAATATAGGGTTTTTTTTGGGGGTGGGGGGGGTTATGAGAGTACAGTTATATAGGGACCATAAGGGCATACTGTTGGTAATGATTCCGAGCCCTATAATCTGAGCGACCTTCTCCAAAGGGGTGTCGGGTTGTATCAAGGAGCATATAGGTTTCCAGGGGATGAAATCCCTTGTTTTTTGGTTCCGGCTTGGTCTTGCAAAGGGTGTATTGTATCCTTAGATGTTCATCTGGCTGCTGGCTACATTCTGTCGAGTGAGGAGTCTGCGAAATCCTCAAAAGGCAGCTAAGAGCGCAGTCAGTTTTTCAAACTATTGTCGCCTTTAGGGCTTGGCAGCTTTAAACTTCGGAAGCACAGGCTCGCACACAACATGCCCACGCCCGGTCGCATGCGCCTTAGGGACTGTGCACATCATCTTCTGCCCTCGAAGCATGACAGAGCGCTGTTGACCATTACATATGGCATGCATCTTGCGCGCAGCAGCAACTTGTCGCTCCCTAAACTCTTAAAACCCAAACATCCTGGACCCCAGACTCGAATCCAAAGCATTCCAAGACCCGAACGATAAACCGAAAATCCCAAACCGTTGCGGTCCCCCAAGGCTTGAAACCCATATGTATGGGTTTAAGGTTTGAGGGTTTAGGATCTAGACCCCTCAAACCTACATCCTGAACCCTAAAGAAGGGAAAGAAGCTGGACAGATCCTAGATCCCTCCCTCAGGAGGCCAATACATCAGGGGCTATCTTGGAGGCAGGACCAATTATTCTTACCCGGAGGGGGTCCTAAACCCTGAAGGCCCTGAACCCTAAACCCTAAACCCTGAACCCTAAAACCCTCTGAGGGTAACGCTCTTGGGGTCAACTGGTAGGGACAGCCATCCTCATCTTTGGGCCTGGGGAGAGGCATCTGGCTGACTCTGTCTGAGAGCACAGGTGGGTTTCGGGTTTAGGGTTTACTGAGGGAGGCTGAGGGTTTAGGGTTTAAGTTCAGGGTTTAGGGTTTAAAAGGGTTTAGGATTCAAGATGAGGCAGGAGGTTCTGGAGGTTAGAAATCCGTAGGACGTTCACCTCTTTCGGGGTTTAGGAGGTTGGAGGTTTGGAGGTTTAGGGGTTCAGGGGGAAGTTCCGGATTCAGAGGCCCTGCAGGGCTTGGGGAGTTGCTGGGAGGAGAGACCTTGGCCGCTCCCCCAGGCTTCAGGAGTCAGGGTGCAGGGTTTGGAGATTCTAGACATCAGCGCCCAGCTAGAAGCCAGCAACCCCCCCCCCCTCAAGCATCACATGCGCGTCGCACCACGTAGCAAGCAGCCCGCCTCCCAATGGCCATAGCCAAAGTGCCTTGAATTGCCTTGAGCTCCCTCACGGAATCTACGCCCTAAACCCTAAACCCTAAACCCCAAGTATCATAAGAGCCTGAGGCGCCCGGACCCCTCTGCCCCTGTGAACCCTGGACCCGATACCCTCGGAACCCCACACCCTCGGAGCCCAAGACCCTGAAGCTTGCAAGATATCCTGAGCCCTAGCCTCCCTGAAAACCAAATGCCAGAGGCCCTGAAGCATGTAAGATATCCTAAACCCTACAAATCCTCAAGCCCTAAACCCCGAAACCCGCGCAGCACATCCCCTAACGCTACCCTCAATCCTAGCTGCCAAGCCCTGAGGTAACAAAAAGCCTAAACCCGAAACCCAAAACATGAAACCCAACAACCCCAAACCCCAAACCCCAAACCCCAAACCCCAAACCCCAAACCCTATAACCCTAAACCCTAAACGTTAGGGTTTCCTAAACCCTATCCCTAATCCCTAATCCCTAAACCCTAAACCCTAAACCCTAAACCTTAAGGGTTTCCTAAACCCTAAACCCTAAACCCCAAACCCCAAACCCTAAACCGCAAACCCTCAACCCTAAAACCCTAAACCCCAAACCCTAAACCCTAAACCCCAAACCCTAAACCAGGCCAAGGTCTGGGCATCTTCGCAGTCTCCGAGTGGCCGAGCTGGCCGCATCCACCACCGCCCCAACCTCTCGGCTTGGAGGGTTTAGGGTCTAGGGTTTAGGGTTTAGGGTTTAGGGTTGAGGGTTGAGGGTTGAGGGTTGAGGGTTGAGGGTTGAGGGTTGAGGGTTGAGGGTTGAGGGTTGAGGGTTGAGGGTTGAGGGTTGAGGGTTGAGGGTTTAGGGTTTAGGGTTTAGGGTTTAGGGTTTAGGGTTTAAGGTGGGGTCGAGGGGGTTGGGGGGTTTTGGGTTTGAGGGGTTTAGGAGTTGAGGGTTTGGGGCTTAGGGGTTTGGAGTGTCGGGTTTAGGGATTCGAAATTTCTGGGGTTTGAGGCTTGGGGCCTGGACGTCGGAGTTTGCGGGTTTAGGCCGCATTGGGGTTTGCGAGGACTTGGAGTTGAATATTTGTTTAGGGCTTTTTGGTGGGCCTAGTCCACAAGCCGGGCAATAGACTGGGGGGCCGGGCTGTACAAAGCCCCCTCGCGGGACAGGGCCACGGTGTGCGCGTCCCCGCAGGCGATCTGAACTATGCACACATCCTGCAAGGGTTTAGGGTTTAGGGTTTAGGATGGTTTAGGGTTCAACTTCTAGTTGTGGTTCCAAGGGGTTGTGGTTCCAAGGGGTCCAGGGTGTGGGATTCAGGAGTAAGGGTGCTTGGAGTTTGCCCTCAACCCAGTCTGGTTCAGGGGAGTTTGTGGAGTTGGGTCAGAGTTTGGCTTCAGTAGTCTGCTGGTGGGGGCGCAAAGGGGACCTTCTGGACGTGTAGGGCGACCTCAGACTATGTGTCGTCCGAGGAAACCGTTCATTCAAAAGCCCTACAGGGTTTAGGGTTTGGCCTAAGACCCTACAAATCAGGAACCTTTCGCATGAGCCCGGTCGCCTCAAGTCTATACTTGAAAGTTCATGGGAAGATGTCAGGATGGCGATACAGTACCTCAAAACAAGCAATACCCAATATATGAGAACTGTAGCCAATGTCACTTAGAGGAATCCGGCGCGCTTGGGGGTTTTTATAGTCATCTGTAGCGACGATTATAGCATTCCTTACAGTTTGGGAGACCCTAAACCTAAACCCTCAGCCCAAAGCCTAAGTAAGCGAGCTGAGACCAGGCGTCCTGCAGACTGTGGACCAGTAAGGGCACCGGCTGATATGGATACCCCTCTACCTCGGCAAGTGGCAGAGGGGTACCCTGAACCCTTGTAGGGGGAGGCCCTTCTGGTGGCACAGGCGGCATAGGGGTACAAGAGATATGAGCCACAAAGGGTTTAGGGTTTCGGGTTTCGGGTTTGATATCGGGCTCAGTCCTACACCCTAGCCTCTCCAACCCTCAAGCCTGCAACCGCCCCGTATACCCTGCAACCGCACTGAGGTGCACGCATCCTTGGGCATGTGCTCCGTATCACCTGCCGCGGCGGAGGCAAACGAGAACCCTGACGCGATTCAATTTTCTAGGATGGCCCTGAGTTTTTTCTGAAAAAAAAACATCCTCATCCTCTTGAACCCAGGAACAGGAATAAAACCCCTAAACCCCTAAAACCCCTCAACCCCTAAACCCCTCAACCCCTCAACCCCCAAATCCTGAACCCCTAAGGCCTAAACCCTGAAACCTGCAAGGCCCCAGGAGCCCCCGATCCGGAACCCTCAACCCTAAACTTCAGGCGAGGCGCAGTGGCCGAGCTGGCCTCAAAAGGCACGGATCAAAAAAAAAGGGTCTCAAACGGTCATTGGAGGTTTTACGACTTTAGGGTCTAGGCTTGGGGTGTAGGGCTCTCGCATGGTCATCGGGGGTTTAGGGCGTCTAGGGCCCCCTTGAAGCATCGAGGGCTTTTTCGTGCGCCCTTTTTCATGTACGGGCTTTGGGGGTTTTGCTGAAGGGGGAGGGGGCTTTTGGGGCTTCGGATTGAGCAAGGGTTTAGGGTTTAAAGTTTAGGGTTTAGGGTTTAGGGTTTAAAGTCTAGGGCTTCGGGTTTAGGAGCCTCCTCCCAGCATCCCTCCTGCACTGGATCTGTGGGGGCTTTAGGCTTCAGGAAGGTGGGAGAAGCCTCCTGTCTTACACCCCCGCAGGCCTGGAGCCAAAACCTGGACCCCCGACCCTGAGCTTCAGTTCCTGAACCTTACACCGCAACACTTCAACGCGAGCTTCAGAGCCTGAAGCCTTCGACCCTAAGAACATGAGACATATGTGCAAGCCACAAACTCAGCTCGTTTTGGCCGTGTCATCGGCCAGCGAGTCTCGACCCTTTGCCTTGCGAAAGCAATGGCCGAGAACATTTCAGGGGCCTTGTCAAGGCTGAGAATCTGTACAAACGGCTTAGCGCGATTCAACCTTGCAAGGCCCGAGCGCGCCGGAAGGTCTTCCTTTGGCTTTAGGTTTGTGAAAGGTTTGGTACCAGTACTGGTGCGCCAGATGATCGACCGATGCGCTCGGGCCCCCCAAAAGTTCCGTGCACAGCTTCGATCAATGAAGCTGCGCATATCAGGCGTCGCAGCCTGCCCTTGCATCAACGTAAGGAAACGTGTCTCATGTGAGAAGTGTGTCCGGCAATAAAGGCTGATGAGAGACCAACTTAGGAATGCAAGGCAGAACAGCTGTGAAAACCCGAGACTCAGCGCAAGCGCAGCACCAGGTGAAGTGTCGACTCCTTCTGGATGTTGTAGTCTGACAGCGTGCGGCCGTCTTCCAACTGCTTGCCTGCGAAGATCAGGCGCTGCTGATCCGGCGGGATTCCCTCCTTGTCCTGGATCTTCGCCTTCACGTTGTCAATCGTGTCTGAGGCCTCAACATCCAGGGTGATGGTCTTGCCCGTCAGCGTCTTCACGAAGATCTGCATGCCACCGCGGAGGCGCAGCACCAGGTGAAGTGTCGACTCCTTCTGGATGTTGTAGTCTGACAGCGTGCGGCCGTCTTCCAACTGCTTGCCTGCGAAGATCAGGCGCTGCTGATCCGGCGGGATTCCCTCCTTGTCCTGGATCTTCGCCTTCAC